TTTTGGTGGGGGGGCGGGCATTGGGGCAGGGGGAGGTGATCAGGATGTTCCGTTTGCCTTGCTCTTCCGGTTCTTTTACTTTATTACTCTTTTTGTAAATAGCGGTTTGAATAACGTCTTTGCTGCGGTTCTGCCATTGCAGCCTTTTGTTTTGCAGCCTTGGCGCTCCTGCACGCCTGCCTCCCCGCGTTGACTTTATTTATATGTTTAGCAGCTGCTCTGGCCCTTTGCAGGTGCAGCTGCCGCAGCAGGTCACTGAACGGGTAGTCCTGGCTTAGGCTGCTTAGGTCGTCCTGCATTAAAAGGAGGAAAATGGGCAACAGAGGAAAATAGTTGTGTGTGATGGTTTTAAAGCAAGCTTAAAATATTGCAGGCCGGTGGTGTCGGGTATTAATGAAATTGAGGTCAAAACCTTTCAGTTCTGATATGCAAGACCGCATTTCTGTTCCCCTGATGAAGGTTGCAATAGAGGCAGGAAGACTCTGCTGCTTTGCAGAGTGGGAGCCTCAGGAGAACACAGGATAAGAGTAGCTCCTGTTTCTCTCAAGATCTCTGGCTCCTTGCCCCGTTGAATGCCATCACTGGCACTTTTGTAAAGGTTTCTTGACTTCTTGGAGGTGGGGGAAACCATAAAAAAATATATTTTCAGGAAGATTGCTAGTTATTAAGATTTCCTTTTAAGCCTTTGAGGTTATCTCTATGCCTTAAAATGCCTTACAGTGAATGACATCCTTTTGGATGTTTTTTCATAAGTGGATTGGTTCTTTGTGCAGTGAACAGCTAACTGCTTCTTAACCTCATGGGCATTTTCAAGTTGTGCTGACATCTCTTCTAAATCAGCCTTTAAATACATTTAAAGCTCTTTTTCTTTTTCGAAGACCAGAGATGAAAAAAGTTATGAGAGGGAGTTGAACTATTCATCATTTTCTAGCAAGCAAACGGCCTTCTATTGAACATTTTTTATACTCAACCCTCTTTAGTGATGGCTCTAGTTAATTGTCTTTGTGAAACAATTGAAGGCTTGTCATCATATTCCAGCTGGCATTAATAATTTCCTTTATATGTGAACTGCATTTTGTTTTTCCTTGTGTGTCCTCATTGTAGATGAGAAGAGAATGGCTTAAGGGAATGAGCATGTCTAAGGTATTTGGTGCTATTTTGTAGAAAAAGCATGCTGTTGTGCTGGCTGCCAGGATTTTTTTGACCATCATTGACTAAAGTTCTGGGGCTCCGTGTTCTGTTTCGTGTATTAAGCCTTTTCTGCTTAGGTGGTCTGTAGTGGTGAGATATTTTCCACTTTTTTTTTTCTTTGGGCAATTCAAGTGTTTCAGGTTATGTTAGGTTGTATTTTGTAGAGTTTAGCTCAAGACATTTAAGTGTACTCAAATGTAATGACTTGGTTGCAAAAAATACTGAACAACTTCTTGTTTCTTTTTTCTTATGTTTTTGCTCCAAGTATTCTATACGTACAAAAATCATGGCTTACCTCTAGTATGCTTTACAATTGTTTATGTTTTTATTAGTAGAGGCGGAGAAAATATCTTTTTAGAGCAGTAAGGCACAAGTGAGTGCATCTTAACTATCGGGTGCTGATAGATGTTTACAAGAAGTACTGCTTAAACAGGGCTTCCTGTGTTCTTCCTGTTTATTTACAGAGAAACTTCTGAATTGGATTAGTTCTCTTCCATTGGATCAAGGCACAAGCTTGTGCCTTTGGCACAAAGAAGGGGTGTTGGTTTTTGCAAACTGATGTTGCTTGTTAAAATTTACTCATTAAACTTCACCTCCTAGGCCCCATGCAGTTGGGATTAACAGCGATTAGAAATAAAATAAGAAAAAATAACAAGATCACCTGCAGTCTCAATAAGTTGAATGCGATCCACTTAATCATGCTAAAAATTCTGCATAACTCCTGTGCATTGAGAGGATCAATTTAGACTTGAGAGTTTTCCATGTGCTTTTTTTTGGCCAAGATTCTTAGCCAGGGTAGGAGGACTGCAGAAGGCTTCAAAATAGCCTATGTCGAGTCATGCACACATTCGTTCATTCTCTCTCTGTTTCTTGAGGCACTGTGGTTATCCCTTTCCCTTCACCTTCCCCAATATAATTACATTAATTGCATTAATATGATTGTGAACATAAGCTGTATGAACATAAGCTGTACCCATATAAATACGGGCAGCCATTTGTTACTGTAAAAAAGCAGCAGCTCCTGTCCAAAGAGTCGGAGCATGCTATAGAATGAAGTGCAGCTGTGTAAGCTATTCCATTGGGCTGGTTCTGTGCAAGCTCAGTTTGTGTGTAACCTGTCTCTGAGCAACATGCTAAGGATTGCTAAGACACCTAATTGTCCTTATCTTAAGTAAGTGCTGTCGAGAAAAACTTGGAAGTCTTTTTATTCTGATAACAGTTGCATTAGGCACTTTGATTTGTTTGCATTGCATTGGTGATACATTAACAAAGCAAATGCAGTTCAGAAGCATTTCATCTCAGAAAGGCTATAAAGATACATTTGGTGGTTTCGTTTCAGCGTAGTAAGTTGTTTCAGTAGTAGTAAGATACATCTTTGTCAGTCAAAGGAAAAAGTCATTAAAACTTCAGTTCTTTCAAGTTGGCAACTGTCGTCACCTATGTTAAAATTAGTCTACTAAAATTTCAAGTATGGTTTCTGACTAAAGTAACTTCTACAAAGTAACTTAGTGTGACTGTTTTATGTTTTTCTCCTTATTTAAGGTGAAAATTTCCGCAATGAGTAAACGTAAATTGAAGGAGAGCAGCAGTGCAAATGGAGAATGCATTTCACAGGTTAGTAATATTTTCATTGTCTGATTTGGCTTGAGTTATGAAATTTCTCCGTTCTCTTTCATCCTTGTAATCCTGTGTATTTTCAAGAGACCAATAAAAAGGCACATTGAGATACTTGATAAAATTTCTAGAGGTAAGTGTTTGTTGGATCTGTGTTCTGTCTTAATTTCAGCTTCTCGCCTGGTGCTTAGCTGTTTCAATATTGATCTAGTTTTTGCAGTGTCTTAAGAAAAATGCTGAAGGACAGTCTTGCACTTTGGCAGTCATGTGGCAGTCATGTAGCTGTCAATTACAACTTGTATGTAAAGGTTCTTTGTTGTCGTTTGTTTTAGTAACCCAAGGAGTGGAAGGAGTTTCAGTACGTAGCACATCTTGACCTTTCTCAGACTTGGCACTAATATCATTGTCTGATCAGATCCTGTATTTTGCAGTTTGCAATGTGAGCCCAGATAGCTTTTACCTTTTTGAAAGGAATAACCCAGGCTAGGTGGAACAGCAGCTAATGAAGCAGATTTCAGCCTTATAAAACTTGTTTGTTTGATATCTCAAATAGGCTACCTGGGAACTGTGCTGCATCTTGTAGTGAGTTACCTCTGGTGTGCTGCTGTGATTCTCTTATGTTTTAATCTTGTGTTTCTGTGTCTCTGAAGTGCTTTTATAGGTGGAAAATTCTTTTTGCTTCTGGATGAGCAGTGCTGATTGTTTAGATTTTTATTTTTACAAGAGTTAGTCTGGAAATTAAATAAATAGGACTTTAGAAAAAGGGGACTATGAAAAATTGGACAAGCACAGGTGGTGTATATTTTTAAAAATCTTTTCATAGTGAAATTGTTATTTTTAATTTTCTATTATCCATTATTTAGACTTGCTGAAGAATATGTGGTAGAGATTTGAGGGGGATATATGTGTTTATTTTAAAACTAAACCCCCAGAAATTATAGTGTTAATTTTATCATGAATTTTAAGTTACTTAACATCAGAAATGACATTTTCAAGCTACTAAAAACTTGCTAGTGATGCCCCCCATGACAGGACTGGTGAATACTAATCAGTTAAAAATGGCACAGAGAAATAACTACTACTTAAGGTCAGTAAAACTAGGGATGTTAATGTGTGTATTTTTTAAGGAAGATTATTTAATTATCTTTGCAGTTTAATCTGTGCAGTCCTGTGCTGTGACACCAAGCATTTAAACAGGCACACCAGTTGTTAAAAAAAGGATGGAGTATTCAAGTATAGATAATATGAGGGGCAGGGATTAGTGGCAAAGTCCTGCAAATTATTAAAAATTGGGATTTTCCAATTTGTGTGCTGTTGGCCAAGTGGTAGGAAAGGTAAGCTATCCTGCTAAAGGTTCGCCATTTTGGAATACATTGAGAATACAATTTTAAGAAATAATTCTTCTTAAACTGAAAAACAGTAAGTCAGTGCAGAAATACAACACAAACTCACAGTTAAAATACTGTATTCTGTATACAAGACTTAAACAAAAAATATTTCAGTTTCTTCATACAACTTAATTCTGTCCTTTGTAAGGAATACATAAGCAATATATTAGCTTTGGTTTCATACTAATATTTCTCCTGTTCTTTATCCACTTCCCCCTGCCCCACGCCTTAGTCTCTTCCCAAATTGTGTGTCTGAACTGAGTCTTCAAAGACAGTGGAAAAACTGTTGAAAAAAGATTTGAGGTTTTTCTGAGGTCTGAAGGTTGTTGTCTGCAATTTGTGTATGGCTGATGTAAGAAGCTTATCCAGGGAAGATTTTTAGGAATGACTGAGTGGGTTATCTTTCTTATTTCAGTTTGCTAGTAAGTGCTAATATCTGTAAGACAATAAATATCAGTAAGATAATAAATACATTATTATCTTGCTGATTATTGCAATCAGTTAGAATGTTGAATAACATCCCTTTGAAGATGAAGGAAAGGAACTATGATAGAAGGGGCCATAAACACACGTCACTGTCACTGAATTTTCTATTTTCTGCTGCTGTCTGTAAAATACAGTGCTTACTGCAATTTCATTCTCACTTTCAAGACCTTGTGTATCATCAGTGGCAGTTAAAGCTTATGTGGTGCCTTACTCTACAAACAACGTTTCCATTATTTTACCTATAGTTATTACATTATTGTTACATTCTGATGTTCGAAGCACCAACCTCTGAATTTTGTTCTATATTAATAGGTACAAAGAATTTTACGTGAACGATTCTGTCACCACTGTGCTACTGGAAAACTGTTTGGGATTGAACACCAATACAAGTGAGCAAACAGATTTGTACACTTTTTTTACTCCTTGAAAAACAATCCAGTAAAATTCCTGATTTTTTTACTATCTCTGTTTTTCTAAACTGCACACAAACTTAAATGACTTGAAATGCAATGCTGCTATAACAATTGTCTCAAACTTTAATAGGTTTTATACTGTGTAGTGAAGTTCTGAGTATTAAATTAGTTGCTGTGTTCTAAATACAGAATTCTTGAAATATTTTTTGTAGCTTAGAAGATAACCTCCAGTGCATGTTCCAAGCCTATGTTTAATGAGCTGTTCAAGCTAAAAGTTAATTTAGCCTGTTGTGCATGTTTATTTTTACTTCACATTTTCCACTGTTTGGCTCTGTTAGAAGTATATTTGAAACCCTGGATGCCAAGATCACTTTTCTCCAAGTAGTCTCATAGACACATTAAAAACAAGGCTACTTCTTGGAGTCCAGATGTGAAGATTAAAAAGTTGGGTAGATGAGACTTATTTTAAATCTTAACGTCTCAGTGATTGGGTAGTTAACTATCTTAATACTAATACCTTTACAGCCATAGGGAAGAATTCTAAAAGCAAATAATGCGTCTCTAAAGAACTTGAAACACATTGATTAATATTCATAGTAGGGATAATTTTTAATTTAAATTGAATTGCTTTGTGTAAACATTACTTTCCTTTTCCTTGAAGGAAGGAAAAAAAGTATTTTCATTACTTTTTTTGAAGTATCTTTCTTACGTCTTTTATGTGGATCTCATGTAGACATGTTTAGTGTAGTTTTGAGAATGTGTACTTCTGTGATGTTGGTGTGTTAAACAAGACTGTGTGGATGAACAGTATTGGAAAAATGACATGATGAACTTGCCAACTCTTAATTTTTATTTCCTGAGATTTATCAGGACTCTTCACTGTTGTTAGCTTTCAAATAGTAAGCAATAGTAAGCAAAAATGCATTTGCTGTAGCTGTTCCATAATGACTTTATCACTGCTTATAAGTGCTTGTGATGTGTAATGTGAATGTGATGTATTCTTGCTAAAAGTTTATTAATTGTACACATTTGTAAATGTGTAAATTGGAAATGTCAGTATTTTTTATAAATATTTTGAATGTGGTATTAGGTGATTTCCTTTTTTATGAAGGACATTTAGAGACATTATTTTCCTCCTTTAGGCAGGCAGAAAATACATATTTGAAAGAAGTTCAGTATTGCTGTTAGCATTAACAAGTGTTGAATATATATATTTAGCATACAGTTGGTTTTATCAAGATTGTCAAAACGCATGCATTTTACTAAAACACTAATATCATATTGGTGTCTTGGTGTCCAGGTTTCAGCGGTGTCATAGAGGGCTGTCTTGGGTGGTAATTTTTTTGTTTGGTTAGTTTTAGTTTTTGTAGGACTAAAATATATATATTTTTTTAGTCTGTGTTTTCATGGTGAACATTTGTAAAACTTTAGTGATACCCCTGACTTATGCACATTTGAAAATTTAAAAATATTTCAAGTAGTCTAATCATTCAGCTTTTTTGTACTTTATTGTGCTTTGCATGCTAAAAGAGTTGGCCCTCTAAAGCAAGTTGAAATGCATCAAGCTTTTTCTTCTGTTCTAAAGATTCTCTGGATTTTGCATAGTTTCAGTGAATGCTGTCTGGTTTGAAGTTTAACCTACTGCTGTTTCTAATGCAGACATCTGCTGGAGCTGCTGAAACGCACGACCCTTCACGGAGAAAGCAATTCTGCTCTCATTATCGGACCTCGAGGATCAGGAAAGACTACGGTATAAACATGTATTAAAAGCTTATGCAAGGTCAAGTCAAACATGAGGTAGATTACCTCACTGAAGTGTTTGTAGCTCTGTAGAGCAACTTTTTTTTTAATCTCTGGGCCTGTTTTTGAAGAGATCATGTTAATATTAATATTTATGTTAATATTCAAATCATGTATTAAGCATACACCACTGGAAGGCATTTCAGTGGTTTCTCATGAGGTAATTCTATGAATAGCAATATGAATAAGTCTATTTTCTATCATTTCAAAAACTTCACTAGATTGGCTACATAATAATTTTATAAAATGTAAATAATTGAATAACTTTATGCACAGTTACAAAATCTGGCACCTGACTAATCTCACAAGGGCTTGCAGGCGCTTGTATATTTTTGGAATCCTTTGCATGCCTTGACCAGATTTTATGCCATGATAGAGGTGCCTGCTATATATATTAACTCATTTTATCAGAATAAGTTGCATTTATTTCATTTTTAGTATTCTTTCTGTGGTCTGGCTATACTGTAGCTTATGCCTGTTATCAGCTTTTTTCCTCTTATGACTCTGTAAAGACTTTTGCCACAAAAGGCTTATTTTTGCAATGACAGTCAAATTTTGCTCGATAACACCTTAAAAGTTAACCTGTTATCACTATTGTCTTCTCTGTAAACATGACTATAAATAGCACTAGTTGAGGTAATTATGTGCAGTTTAATTT